CGGGAACCTAGGAGAGGAGGTAATTCTGACTTTGCTATGACAATCTGGCGCTTCTGAATCAGCTACTGTTTTGTTATTAGTTTAAGTATTTGCTATTGACTGTTCAAATGCGGAGTTTTGCGCATCGTGTGTGCGTGCGTGTGTGTGTGAGAGTCAGAGAGGGAGAGAGACCAGCTTCATCACTGTGTCTGTCACGCGACTCTGTTCCCCTTTCGGGCTCTGTCTTTACATTTATTTTGAAAGATGAAGCTCGCGATTATGGTAAGGGGCGTTACATTTCCGACGAGTGCTTGCGGTGTTCGGCCAATCACAATGCACTGGGTCAACTGGCCAATCAGCACAGACTGCGCTTGTCGGAAGGAGGGACTTTGTAGAAAACGAAGCGTTTAAGAGAGGCGGGGCATAGAGGACCTTCAATAATGTACAGTATTTGAAAAATAATGTGTTTTTTGAACATTAAAGCATGTCAACATATTCTGTTGCACCAAATACACAAAATAATGATCTTTAAAAAAGCATCATATGACCCCTTTAAGGCAAATTGGTATCACTGGGCATTTTTCACGGTTTTTATTGTTAACTAAAATAACTAATTAACAAAAAATGTTTAATAGATTTAAGATATAAATATTAGATAAAAAAATTAAAACTTTAAAAACATTGAAATGTAGCCTTTGCAACTAACAGAAAAGCACTATAAAATAAACTGAATAAAAACCAATTTAACTTAGTCAAAAATGTATAAAACTGACAACGCGCACAACAAAATTATTTAAAACAAAACTCATATTAAATTGAAAACTGAAAATATAAAATTTAAGTGTATTTCAAAATATTTCAAATATTTATATAATGTATGAAATTTTTACTGTAAAGTCGTTTGTTAAAAAGACCGCTTAACCGTTTTCAACATAATAAAAATAAATGTTTCTTGAGCACCAAATCAGCATATTAGAATAACTTCTGAAGGATCATGTGACACTGAAAACTGGAGTAATGATTGCTGACAATTATATTGTAAAATATGTTAAAATGGAAAATAGAAATACATTTTAAATCACTAAATTTCAGTTTTTGCTGTATTTGGTTGCTTCAAAAATCTTACCTACCTGAAATTTTATCAACCGATTAATCGACTCATAACAATAAATGAATAATTATGGTGTTGGTAATTGTTTTGAGGTAGTTGGGGAATCCTCTAAGTGTTGTCTCTTAGGTAGTCTACAGTTGTTGTTTTTCTTTTAAAGTGGTCTGCTGGGAGGTTTGCGAACCATTGCTTTTAGCTTAAGTTCTGGGCATAAATGGTTACAAACTGTCACCTTGACCATCTTTGACATTTTTATCTTCCCATCTGTTTCTCAGACTCATTGCTTCCTCTGACTTGAACTCTCTGTCTCTCCCTCAGTCCTTTCATTGCCCCTCTCTTCTCGTGGTTAGAGAGTTCCCTTCTTAAACACTAGCGCTATTATTTTAACATCTCTCCACCCCCAAACCACCTCTCACACTGCTTAAGACATAAAGAAGGAACGAAAGAGAAAGAGGCTTTAGTCTTAAGATAATCATGACAGCACCGAGACGTTTTCACTGTGTGTCTCAGCAGGCATGGTGATCTGTTTAAACTGGGACACAGAGTTGATGCTACAGCTGTTGTGGGTGAGTAAATATTATGGTCGGGGGTCGCTGTCCTGCTCGCTCGGTCACAGGTGAAGATGAATGAATGGGGTCTCCTCTGGTTCTTCAGAGCAGGGTTTTGGTGTTTGTGGTGTTCGGTCTCAGCTGAGATTCAAAGGACTGTGATTTGTGTTCTCTCCTGATCAGCCTGTTTTTCAGGGTGAGCGGTGGCTCAGACAGCTCTCAGCCCTGCGGCCTGTTTGAGGGTGTGCTTGCTGTGTGTGTGTGTGTGTTTTAGTAAGGGTGTGATGCTATTTTGCTTGACTTCATCTTCAAGGCTGTTGCCTAGAAAGTAGGTTATTCATTTGTCCTCACACATTAGGTTGTTGGTTGAGGTGTTATGCACATTGAAAGTTTGTCTATAACAATTTCGTCCACATTTTCATGTGAATTTTGTGAAAGATTAAAAGAGATTTTTCTAAAACATGAACAAACTACAGTCAAATCATTTACTAAATAAATTGGAAGGGTGTGTGTGTGTGTGTATGTGTGTGTATATATATATATATATATATATATATATATATGCATGCATGCATACATACACTCTTTGGTGATCCTTCAGAAATCAATCATTAAGAAACATTTTATTGTTATTAATTGAAAACAGATGTGCTGCTTATTTTTTTGTGGAAATTGTAATATTTTATTCAGGATTCTTTTGATTAAGATTAAAAACAGCGTTTATTTGAAATATAATTTTTTTTGTAACAATGTAAAATTTTAACTTAACCAAACGCATTCTATATGAGATAAATCAGATATACATCAAATAAACACAATATTACAATGTACAATTGCACAAAAGGCTGCAAACGAACAGCGCGCATCTGAAGTGTCTCTGAAGGAAATAATGCATTATTTATCGGCTTTAAGATATCGGCCAAATTTTCTTATCAGGCCGATACCGATAACAGAAAAAATGAGCCGATATGGGCCGATACCGATATGGTGGCCGATATATCGTGCATCCCTACTCAAGACTAGCAGCAGAGAGCGGTCAGGCTCATCTGTGCACACACACACACACTTTTCTCTCGCCTGTACACCTGGTGCTTTGTCCTCGCCCCGTGCTGCTAAAGGCAGAGCTAAACACTGCCCCTCCTGACGACTTCAAACGAGGAAAGAGAGGGGAGGAGGAGTAGCCGGCTCTTTTGATCTTGCTCTCCTCTGTTTTGTCCTCTCTCAATTTGTCCCCCTCTTTTCCCTATTTTTTCTGGATGAGATGTTCTCCTATCTCTGCCGCAAATTCTGAAGGTGTTTTTATATGCAATGGCTGCAAAACATCTAGAGTACTGCAGTGATTTACGTGTTTTGTGGGCCAACCAGAAAATCACCCTGATTCCCTTGACAAAAACCCTATAGGATTGTTCCATTAGATTACTGCAAGAAAATAAGCTCTGTGACAAAAGTTTATGATTCTTACATGTTTTGTTAATAATTATAATCTTAACAAATTTACACAACTTTTACATTTTGATACCTAAATACATTTGCCAGAAGTAAAAAGCTAAGCTTCTGACAGCTCTTTCAGTCTTTATTTAAAAATATTTTCCCTGAAAGTTTGAGTTGAATAGTTTGCAAGAGCTCAGTTGTGAGAGTTTAAAAGCAGACTAGTGACTGTTTAGCGTGATGAAGGTTAATGTCCAAGAAAACCTCTGTTGTCCCATTTCGCTACGTGTTAGCATCTGCCTTTTTCAAGACAAATAAAATCATTACTGATGTGTTTTATGCCAGAATAAAATGTTAAAATATCTTGAGCTTGTATTAACCATAGACATTTCACCAAAAACTCATTTAAAAATCCTGTTGTATTTTGAATCTCACTGAATTCGATGGAAAAAATCCAACGAAGTGACATTGTAAACTAATTATTTATCTAATGGTTTTCATAGAACTAACTTCACTTTTATGAGCCATTTTGTCCATTTATTTTAACCAGCTGGGAGCAAGGTTATTTTAGTTGGTCTATGAAGTCATTTTTTTACACCGTTGTCCTAGGTATAGTTCATCACATTAACTGTGGGCATTAGAACTGGGAGTCAATCTCAAAAAGAAGTGGTTCTTAGATTCCAAGGCATTGGGAGTCGATTCTAACATTGATAGCTGATTCTGTTCAGGGGCCTTATATTTGAATCCTCTCAGCTAGTACATGGGATTGATTCAGTTGACCAAAAATACACATTCAGATTACTGGTTCATTCTGTGCTTTCATACAGTAGTTTATATGATTACGCTCATGGGTGTTGACAAACAAGTATCTTTTTGAGTATTATGAGTGATTCTTTTAATCATGGACTCAGATTCATTAAAAAGTAATTCACAACCAAAACAACATAAAAGCACAGATTTGAAAAAGACAGCAGCTAAATTATATTTTGGCAATTGTTCTGTCAGTGATAATAGGCTAAAACATATTTATATTGCACTGCGGGTAGATCAGTTTACTTGTTCTGCATGATGTTTAATGTCCCTGACAACCTCTGTAGTCCCATTTAGCCACTTGTTAGCAACCGCCTTTGTCAGTGAAATCTTAGAGGGTGTATTACTGATATATTTTGTGTCATAGAATAAAACATGAAGTTATCTTGTGTTTATGTTAACCACAGAGTATATTTTAGGCATTTAACCAATAACCCATTCAAAAAAACCTTTCGACTGCATGCCGATGTAACCGGAAATGCTAACTCGTTTCCGGGTTTTGGTCTACAAAAATGTGTCATCCCTGCAGCACTCTGTTTGGATACGTAAGTCACACCACATACATGCTTTATATTGCACTGATTGCTTAGAAATCTTTTTTTTAAATAAAAAAAGAAGGTTTTATTTAGACTCCCTAATGAAAATTTTGCATTTGATGTTTGGCAATCAGAAACAGTCAAAATACTTTGTTTTCATTTTGAACAAACTTATCTGTTGATTTATCCTTAAAAGTCTAACAGACTTCCCTACATGTTTTGCTATTTCTTTCTGTGTAAATGCCATTAGGTTGATATTTTGTTCAGTGACATTCATACTTTGTAAGTGTGTCCAAATGCTTTTTGATGCTGCTGTGTATCTTGTGTTGGTCTTGGCCTGGGTTCACTTTGAAGATACACATGTTCATAAGTAACGGGAGTAAGTAAGAGATTAATCTGTATGTCTGGCTTCGGGCTGTGATAGAAAGCATGTCTGGATCTGTTCAGGCTCAACTCGGATGTGTTTTCTTTTCCTGATGATCGGTAGTACGTATCCCAGCAGAGACGCTAATGGAGCTAATAGTGTGTCCGTTCTGCCTTAGATCGTGCACTGTCAGTCTCCTTGTTGAATGTGTTTTCTGTCTCTCTCAGGTGAGATGGTGAGAGGGGGGAGGGAGTGAGGCCATGGGCTGCACCTCGGCTAAGCAGGTGTCGGCTGTGCCCAACGACGAAGAGGGCCGGGGCAAAGCCTACAGCAACGGCGACCTCTTCACTGGTCAGTTACAAACACACACACACATAACTTCATTGGGAAAGTACACATTCATGTATAACAAAACAATTTTTCAGAAGCATCAGAATTATTGAACACTATAGGCTACAGATAATAACGTTAATTGCTTTACCTAAGGATAGCGTATCTAATTTTTTAAAATCTGGACTGGTAATCAAACTATTGTAGGTTTAAATCCTATAATAGGCAAGGCATGAACTATTACCATTCTGGCCTTAAGCAAAATGTTTAAGGGAATATTTCACCCAAGAATTAAAATTCTGCTCATTTACTCACCCTCACGTCATTCCAAAATTGTTTGACTTTCTTTTTTTGAAACACAAAAGATGGGATTTTGAAAAATATCTTTTCAAATGTTTTTTTGTCCACCTAATGCAAGTCAATAGGGTCCAGTGTTGTTTAGAAGCCAACGTTCTCCAAAATATTGTATGCTCCAGCAGAAAGGAAATCCTATAGGATTGATGACAGAATTTTTATTTTTGGGGTTTAAAGGCATGGTAGGTGATTTGGTTCAAAAACATTTTTTGTTATGCTGGTTGAAAGTGTCTTCACATCCCGATAACAATCACAATAAAAAAGTTAAGTGGTCTATATCGTCTGTGGAAGGCGTACACTGTAAAAAAATAAATAGTTGAGAAAACGTAAAACGATTCTCTCAACAATAGTTTTTCATTTCTTCTCGGTAAAGATACATCGTTTAGCCAGTGTAAATTTGTTTGTTCATACAATGCTGATTGTCTTATTTTGCTAATAGAAAAATTCTTGTCACAGCAACTGAAACCGTAATTGCTGTCGTTGAGGTAATTAATTTGTTTCTGTTTCCTGGATGAAAAAAAATTGTTGTATAAAAAGTCACCACATTATCAATGTTATGTTTATTTACGAATGGTAAACAGTGAATTGTTATAGAAACCTTAATGGATAACTTAGTCTAATATGTAGACAGCGTTGTCTTTGTTTGTTAAACATCTTACAAGACTAAGATTTCTAGGAAATGGATATAAGTGGTTGAACATACTCTAGGCCTCAAAACACAAACCTCAAGAACGGTGACAGTACAACAAATAACTAACAATAATGACAAAACTACAACAAAAAAGTTAATGAAGTCAGCAAAAAGCAAAACAATAATCCTATAACAGTAACTGCATAATTTATTCATGCTGCAATGCATGCTGGGAACTGACAAGGTCTTAACATTTCAACAATATGAAATTCTTGGTTCAGACAACTGTGTTTGACTAGTTGGGACAACATTTGAGGTAATTTTGTTGGTCTTACAAGGGTTTTTATGTAGTTTCAAGAAAATAGCATTTTGTTTTTTTAGTGTTTGAGACTCAATGTTTCCTATACTGGAAAATATGCAGTTGCATTTTTTTACAGTGCAGGACCATAAAATGTTCGTCCAATCATATTTTTTGATCCGAGGACAATGATAGGCTGTTCTACCTGCCTGTCAACATATGTATTTGCATATCTCCACGCACCCTGTTCACGCTGTCTGACATTATACGTCAAAAGGCATATTTACTGTAATATTATGCACTTTGTACTGTAATGTTTTCTCACCGGTGAATGAGACATGAAGTAATCTGACAGCATTGAGTTGTCATCTTTCATTGTGACGCTGGTTTGCCTCTGGTCTACCTGTGTGTGTTCATGTGTTTTGGGGTAGGCATAGCTTTGGAGAATAAATAAGAGAGTCCGCTCAATGATTAATTGGTCATTTCCATACAACTGGCTTTTATGTGTCCAAAATGAAAGGTTTTTATTGGACATCACTGTCCACAGTCTCTTAAATAGCCAGAGATTTGATTCATTTCCATGGGAGGCTGTCACATTTTGAGAATGTAATTTCTCCACTGGACTATTGTTGATGGATAAGAGCCTGCTTTTCAGTCTGTTTTTTTGGTTTTGTCCCAGTTAATATACTTGGACTATGCTTTACATTTATGTACCTTGCTAATAAGGGGAAAGTGTACACTTTGGAATGTAGTATTGGGACACCTTATCATAAAATTATCTTGATTACACAGACCAACCTCTGTTGTGTACTGTTTGCGTGCAAGCATTAGCTAAATTTGTTATCTTAAAACTACTTTCAAGTTCATACATAGTTTAAACATGACTCTTCTCTTTCATAGGGTAATTGTGGGTAATATTAGCTCAAAACGGGGCTTTTTTGGTATAGTTTAGTGTACTATGATTTTTGGATGTGTATTTGAAAGAGTCAGTGAAGGATTTTTCAAACTGGTAACCTGTGAGTCGAGCAGTCTTTTTGAACGATTCATTAAACAAACCAGCTCAAGTCACAAGAGTCATTGGCTAGTGAATTGAACTACATTTACTCAGACTGTATGTTTTTGATTCAGTAAAACAAACTCAAACATTTGGCAGTAGTTGTTTTTATTGCTGGCCAACCCAATGCTTGAAGCTAAATGCATAATGTAATGCTTTGAATAGTCAGTTGGAACAGGCTCCAGCAGTGATGGCTCCATCCATGTTATTCAAGCAGACCTGATATGTGAGAAGTAATTCAAACGTAAGGGACAGACAGACAGACATCTTTGAACATCGCTGGCATTGACATAGGCTGTTTTTACCAATCATTCAAGACTCATTCGAGATTAAATGTTAAGCAGAACAAATAGCCAGTTAAGTCATTTATGTCCAGGCAGTGAATAATGTTTTACAATGTTTTGGGAAGCTGATTACATTCTGGGAATTCTTGGTTGCATCCTTCTGAGCAGTCATACTGATGTGTGTGTCTATGTAAAGACTGTCAGCTACATCTGTGCCAACCGGCGTGTGTTTTGAGGATAACGTTATCAGCTGGAGTGAGTGACGACTCATTCCTGTGAGTGTGTTCACTGAGTTTTGTGTGTGTGAGAGGGTGTAAATATGTTTTACAGGGTTTAGATAACAGCAGCGCTTAGTGTGCGACCTGTGAGAGAGTGACAGAGATTATAGGAGATTAAGAATTAGTGGTAAAACAGCAGAAAATCCACACAGGAAACTCTCGATGAGCAGCCACAGGAGGCTGCCGCCTACCCGCTCTCCCTCTCTCTCCCTCTTCCTGCCATGTTCTTTTCTCGGTCTCTAAGGATTCCGAGTGTGTGAGATGGTGGGGAACGGTCTGAGAACGAGGGAGAGAGTGAGTGACGTGGGATCACAAACTCCCATTTTTCCTCCCCTGGCATTTATCCCTCCCTCTGCATATCTGTCGTTCTTCTCAAGGCCACACTTTGCTTGTTTCCTTCCTTCCTTTGCGATGGGCTGTCTCCTTTTCGTTATTCTGCCTACGTTTCTGCCCGCCTTCCCATTACCTAAGCTATTTTACTTCGTTCTCTTCTCTCTTTTTTTTTCACCCATGGTATCCCTTTCTGTTTCTCATACAGTGCTCTCTTTAGCCATGTTCAAGAGAGAGTACTTCAAACCACTAATATTTCTGTTGTGTATATATAGTATGTACATAGCCGTTCAAAAGTTGATCAGCAATTTTTTATATATATTTTTTTTTTGTTGAAAGAAATTAACAGTTTTATTCAGCAAGGATGCATTAATTTGATCAAGTGTGACTTTCTATTCATCAAAGTATCCTGAAAAAAGTATCATGGTGTCTACAAAAATATTAATCAAAACAACTGTTTTCAACATTGATAATAAAAAGAAATGCTTCTGGAGCATCAAAAGCAGCATGTCCGAATGATTTCTGAAGGATCATGTGAGTCTAAAGACTAGAATAATGGCTGCTAAAATTTTGACATTTGACATTGTAGGAATAAATTACATTTGAAAAATATATTAAAATACAAAACAGTTATTTTAAATTGTAATAATATTTTGCAGTACTACTGTTTTTTCTTTATTTCTGAGGAAATAAATGTAGCCCTGGTGAGCATATAGAGCAACATTTCTCATTTTTGTGAGGTATTTCTTCTATTATTTATTTATTTCAGCTATATTTCAATTGCCAAAAACTATTTTTAATAATTTTAGTTAACAAGAACGCTAGCTAGTATACAATTTTAATCGTACATATTTGCTGCTTTTTATGAAGAACTTATTGACCAATAATAATGTACATAATATACGAATGCATGTGTGTATTATCAATGCAATTTGAACATGCTACATCCACAGTGTTAACACTGTCATGTGACATCAGCCTTATTGTTTTTCTCCACTGTTTAAGAACACTAACTCCTGTCCCGTGGCCTCGTGGGATAGTGTCGTTATTTAGCTAATCATTTGACAATGTTTTGATCATAGGGAAGTACCGGTAGTCATGTAGGGGCTACTTCTCTGAGTTCTGCACTTCCTCTTGTTATGTTTTGAGGATGTGAGTGTTTATACTGTATCTTCTGGTCCTCATCTCTTTCGTTCTGTGTGTGAGATCTGTAGGCTCATGTGGCGTTCTGATAATCTGAGTGAACTCTAAGGCACTACAACAGATTGATGAGTATTATATTCACCAGTGCGAACAGAGCAGTGACTTGGTTACTGTGAATTATTGCGAACTCCCCCCTTCTTCTCGCTCTATCTGTCTATCTTTATGTCTCTCACTCGCTATTTTTCTTTCTTTCTGCTGCCAGCCCGATGTCCTTCTTTCCACTGCCCTTCCCGGCTGTCAGTCAAACAGCTCTATCAATAGAACAGAGGAAGACCGCTTTCGCCCCACTCTCTCTCAACTCTCAGCTCTCGCCCTGGCTTGATTAGTGCCAACAGACTGTTTACGAGTCAAACTGTGTCAGTGTTCAGGCAGTGATTGTGTGTGCGTGTGTCCTCATCTGTGATTCAGCGCTTAGTCGATCCCAACAACACACAAGATCTCTAGCACGCACAATGACAGGAAAGGCCGAGCTGCCCTAATACAAACAAGAGAGGCAGCAGGCGGAGAATATGCTGTCTGGTTACATGTGAGCTGCACTGAGCTGTTGAGATTGGTGTGTGAGTGTGCTGCCAGTCTTTACTGGGGCATTCACGTTGACGCCGATTTGCACCGACAAAGTGACCAGAAGACATATGATTTTTAACAAGAGCCGGCCATATCTGACATGACCGTTTGCAGTGCGATGAGAAAAGTTTACTAGTTCTACTATTAAAACTGGGTGTTGATTCATCTTGTTACTTGGTACTGTGTTATAATTTACATTTTACTTTAGTTTGAAAAAAATTTTCTTTGGATGATGCTGTAAGTTGTTTTAGATGCATTTAATCCAGTAACTTGTCTTTTTGACCTACTTATTAAAAGAACCAGCTTGTAAGAGTCATTTGTTTTTTTAATCTGGCTACTGCGCATTTTGCATCTTTGGTTTATTAAAAAGAACCAGCACATAAGAAAATTATTTATTTATTTATTCACACTACATTGTTGCATGCCGTTTTAATATGATGTACTGCATGTACTATTATAGTATTTATTAAAAAAAATAAAATAAAAAAAAATTGTAATTTACATTTTATAAAATTTTATGGCCTTTTTCCGTTTTTATTATAATTTGGTTTTTATTTCAGTTTTAGCACTTTAACTTAAAATGAGAAATTTTGCCTTGACAACTAACTAAAATAAAATAAGTTTTTAGTCTGATATTTGTTTCAATTAATGAAAATGATTTTTAATAGATTAAGTTAACGATAACAATACTCTTGCACACTGTATGTTTGTTTTTTTTTGCGATTACTTCCTGGTACAGTCTTTTATTGCATAATAAATACATTCTGCCTACTCATTCATAACGTAATATTCGTAAAAGATTGATTTTAGGAATAGGTATAGAATCCATGTTAACATTTTTTATAAGCAATTTCATTGTTTTATATTATTTATTCTGCATGATTTAATATCTTCCGGTCATTGCAAATGCATTTGGCAGATGCTTTTATCCAATGCAACAATGTCAAGGTTTACATTAATATGTTTGTTTTTCCTATAAATCAAACCCATGACTTTGGGGTTGCCTAGTGCCTTGCATTACCAACTTAGCTTTATTAAGTTTGCAGGGTGATTAGTTTTAGAAAAAAAATGATGCATGGAAAACTCAGATATTGCCAGGATTGATTCATGCATCATTAAGATACATAATGCATTTCAGAAATGTTACTACAGTCAAATCTTTCCCCTCCATTTGATTCTAGAGACAAAAAACTGATTTATTTCCATTTAATTGTAATCGGATTATTGCTAGTTTTGCAAGTTAACAATAACAGGCCACCCAGCAGTAGGAACGCCCTATATGGCCCAATAATACAGCCACTCATCGACCTTCAGCGATAAAACCACTATATGTTTGAACAAAGCATAAGAGGGTGTGTGTGTACACATGGCTTACTGTCAGGCTGTGGTTAATACATTTCATACAGCCATTTTTCAAAGTCACCAAGTGACTGCGTTCACAAAGCGACTGTTTAGCTAATGTTTTTAACAGCAACGGACGTACAGTAGCACAACAGATCATCTCGGTGACACTCTGCCTTCTGAGGTTTAGACACATGACTTCAGATGTTTAACAACTGATCTTTAACCAGAGGCATGGTATCGGTCATGTGTCTAAAGGTAGCGCAAAACGTGTCTCTTGGGTTTTTTTTTCCTTTTTCCTAACTCTTCTCTGTTCCGCCATAACGTTAGCGAGTAATCTTCCACCTACTATCAAAGAGAGTGCGAGATTGACAAACTCCCTTCCTTTGCGGTGGACTCACTGTGTTAACAGACGCCCACTTACAGAATAGCTTCAGGGCAAAGCTTCTCCACACTGATTCTAAAAGTAAAGCAGCCCACTCATGTTCCTCAGACACGCCACTCAGAGCACTGAACACATCTGAAATTAGGCCAGAAGGTAAAAGTGAGAGGAAGACGGGCTTCTGGAGCTGTGTTGTTGTCCGATTTGTTTCGATTTAGCCGAACGAGCAGCCAGACAGCTAAATTACCTGGTCGTCAGAAGGCATCTTGTCATGAACACAGAAAAAGAGAAGAATAAACATGGGAGGCCTAGTGATTAACATGTATGGTGTGATATTTCGCTCTGAAAATGTAAATAAATTTTTTCAGCTTTATTTAAAAGAATTTGGGGGGGGGGGGGCTTTACATGCTGCAGTCTCACGAAATTGTCAGAAATTATATGTAATACCACTCGGCTTTACATAAACCATGTCAATAATTGTAAGTATTTTCTCTATAATTGCTAACATCATATTGACCCTTTTTTGCTAAGTAGATATAAAATGTTTGATGAGGAATCAAGTTCCTTGACATTATTCATTCATTTATTCATCAGAAGGACTAACAAGAAGTATAAAATGTAGAAAAATATCCCAAACCCTGAGCTGTGTGTCGCACCTGTCGTTCTGCATATCCATCTGAAGGATGCCAACATTAAGAGAGTGATTGAAGTTTATTTTTAACAACATGCTTGATCACATCTAACCTTAAGCATGTGTTTTTTTAAAATTATTATTTATTTATTTTAATTTTTGCAAAGAGGTTGTTCGTTAAAGACGGGGCAAAAAAGCAGTTTTGAACCCAACAGCAAACTCCCTGATCGTGTCTAAACATAGTTAATCTTCTTTCTGCTCATTTAGTGAAAAATTTGGAATGCAAAAAAGACTGTGGTCTAATTGAGCATTTTTAGTGATGCCATAAATGAATGACTGAATTTGTGTGTGTTTTGTTTTTTGAAATTGGCAGTTGGTTCACATAGTTAGAACTGCCCAGCTCTATCTTCAGGGGTTAAACACTGAAATGGAAAAATCGGAGATGGTGTAAAAATATCTTTGCCTTGGTACTGTCATACTCATGAGTCATAACACAAGAAGCAGGCACAGAACTGCCTACCATCACAGCCTTAAGAAATTGAATGGCCTAATAAAAGTATCACCTCTATATTCAGAGTGTTTAATTTTATGAATAAAATATTTATATATAAATATTCACTACCCTGCCATTCTTTAACACATCCCATGATGCTCAGAAATCCAGCTTGCAACATCTCATTCTCCATCATTTTCTATCCTCACTCTACTTCAATATTATGTCATACTTCAGTATAATAGTTTAAAATAATAAAAGTCGCACAGAGGCCAACCTTATTTCTGTCTATTGAGAAAGCGAGCGTCCTTCTAACCATCAGGTCCTAAAGGTCGGCATCATGCTGTTATCACTAATTAGCCAATCAAAATATCCCTACATAAGAGAACCTCTCATCTTATCGCCAAAAATAGTCCGTCTGGAACATACTAAACTGACAAAATGTCACTCTCTCTCATGGTGAGCAACTCCCAAATCCTACGTTTCTCTGAGATGTGTGCTTCACGGATGATTCTCGTCTTGAAAAGATGGATTAGGAATGATATGTTCCTCAGATCTCCTTTTTTGGTAATGCTATCACCCTAATTGCGTATATGCGAGTGTGTGTGAGAAGAGAGATGTATCCGTATGTATGCATGTATATGCTCTTTGAGAACCAGGAGACCTGTTTTGTGTAACACAGAACAGCCAAATCAATTAAAGTTTGGTTTTAATTTGTGTGTGATGTTTCTCCTTGGTTTGGTTGAGTGTGTGTGTGTGTGTGTTTGTCAGCATGTTGAAGCGTGGTCTTTTGTGCAGAGACATGTTTACATTCCTCAAGCTGTGAAAGACTGGCGGCGTTGCTCTCTCTCTTTTTCTCTCTCCTTTTATATTCCTCTTTTTGTTTTTCTTTCTCCTTTTTCTCACTTTTTTGTGCTTGTGCTGATGGGCCGCACTGAGTAACATTCACAGGCTGCCCACTCCAGCTGTCATGATGGTAACTGACAGGGAGTTCACAGTGAGAAAAGGAGAGAAAGACGGATAGAGGAGAAGATAAACAGAGATTGAGTGGGCTGTGATTGCTTCACGCTGATTTGTAGACCGAGTAAAAGACGGATTTATGTATATGTGTGGGTGTGTGTATGTGTTATGAGGAAGTGAATGCATGGACATGCAAGTATGTACATGGCCGTTGGTAATTACCGATAGCTGGGAAAGGGCAAAATCCAAAACGTTCATCTGTTAGAGCTGTTGTTTCAAATGTGAATTCTCTCTCACATTGTTCCAAACCAAAAAAAGGTGTTGAAGAATATGACACCTCTTTTCAGTATAATGAGAGCGAAGGTGGAATAAAGCTGTCAAGCTCCAAAATTACAAAAAGGACCATAAATGTATGTAAAAGTGGTCCTAAAAGTGAAGACCGAATGTATATGTTGTATACCGTATACATATACAATGTAAGTTCATGAGAGAAGTGTCGATGCCTGATTCATGAATGATTAATTTTTTTGAATCAGATATTTTCAATGAATCTGATGTTCATGAATCAGGCTGATTTGATTCTCAAGTTCAACTCACTGACTCAGTACAACATTTAGTTGAAGGGCAAGCTTATCAGACATTAATTACCTTTCTTTTCACACAAATCTATCATCTATATAAGACTTTCAATATACCACAAGTCATATGGGCTATTTTATTAAACTTTTATGGTGATTTTGTGTCTTTTACACAAAGTCCCCATTCATTGTAACTGAATGGAAAAAATACCAGTACATTTTTTTGAAATGTCGTCTTTTGAGTTCCACTTAAGAAAGAAAATCATATAGGTTTGGAATGACATTATGATAGAAGTTTCATTTCTCTGTGAATCTTTTCTTTAACAGTACAAGAATGAACCTCTTATTTGTGTTTCTCTTGCTATCATTGTAGATGAATATAAGATGAAGGGAGTGGAGGAGGTGAAGTACATGCGTGGAGAAGAAGACCGAGTAAACGCACGCAACCAGGAGAACCTGGTGAGATACAAAACATGCCTGCGCAGTTGCGCACACACCTGGGAAATTCTTCCTGTGCAGTGGTGTCCATCATATTTTTGCTTAGTATTCACACACACTGCTTGAGGCTCATATGCCCATTGTTGGCTTATACATTGTGAGGTAAAACTAAGCGTATGCAGTGCACACGTGTGCCGACATGTTTGGAATGTCGGAGTGGGAAATTCTAAAAAAAATTTCCTCTTTTGTCACAGACTCTCACTCTCATGCTTAGACATTCACATTACCAGACAAAATGTAATATTCTGGAGTTTCTACATGCATTTTTCTTACAAAATTTCAAAAGATGTCTGGACTTATCTGGACTGATTCTTTCTCTAATGAGGAAGCTATGTATTCTTTTTCTTAATAATACTAATGATTTTAGAGATTTTGTTGTTTTTGAGCCATAAAACAATACACTCTTACACATGCATATTGTTTTTTTTTTTTTTTCTCGCTTAACTAATAATGTTAAGGTTTCTTGTATAATGACCTAAGCTGTCTGTTTAGCTACTTTACTTTTAACACTATGTAAGTTACCCTGTTATGATTGGCTAACCTTTTCACCTGTTAAAAGAGTAATAATGTCACTGCCAAGTTATTAAATATTGGCATTGACATGAAAATGTTGGTCATCATATGTTAATGTTATATGTTAATATACTCAGTGGGGGTGTAAAATGCTTCATTACTTACTTCATTTTTTTTTTATTTCTTATCCAAAATACAGTTCTCAAGATATTTCAAATGTAATAATCCACAATTTCAGATTCCCAATGTATTTTTTGCATGGAAAACCTTGAAAAGAATTATAATATATATTGATATATATCAAAACAATCAAATAAAACCAAATTTCACATGCATCATATCATTTAGTGATCATCATAAAATTATTGTCCTGTTTCTACCCCTTTTTGCATCTTAGTTTCCATAAATTATCTGCTTGCATTGTGAACGAGTATGTCCACGTAGTACATTTCAAATAGAGCAGGAAAAATCCCTTTTCCATGATAATTCCCCCTTTAAACTGCCTGGCTTAATGAAGTTGTACAGGCAGAGCAGGTGTTCAGATGCCCATGTTCCGATAAGGGGGGCGAGAGGAGAATAGAGACGCAGTGAAAGCGAGGGCAGCCCTCTCTCTCGCTGTCTCTCAGCAGGGCAGCATTCTCATTAGCAGTGGCCAGAGGAAGGTCACTCCCAGGGCCTCTGTGTCACGCTGTGTTCCAGGCGAAGAAGCTGGTTCTGGCCCACGTCCAGAAGCCGACAGGGCCTCTGCACCAGAGGGCCACCAGGGACTGAATTTGGCTTTGTTTTGAACAGTAGTAAGGGAAAACGTGTTCATTCCGGGTGTGTTTGCAGGAGAAGAGCTCGACGCAGCACAGGACCAAACAGCACAAAGAGGTGCCTGGGCCCAGCGCCAACAAGACGAAGTGAGTGGGTTTATACATGTGCCTTTCTGTTTACAGAGTGCGTGTGCTTCTGTTTGTTTTGTGTGTGCGGGTGAGGGCATTAAAGTTCTTGCTCTGTCAAAAACGTGCTAGAAGTCTGTAAATTGTGTGTGGTTTGTTTTGCTTTGTGGCCTGTCTTATCCCCTCTGGATCTCATTTGCATGTTCTGTTCGAGCGTGATGTGCCATGTTTCGTAACTTATTGTATGTAAACATGTGTTTCTTGCCTTCGGATGTAATTGTCAGTTTCAAAGTGTTTTATTGCCATAATTATTTCAAGTGAAATTGCATTTCTAACGCATCAATAACACAATTGTGATGTAAATAAAAAGGCTAACACTTTATAATTCTTTTTTGTTAAAAGTCATTTAAAGGAATAGTTCCACCATAGATGAACATATCATTTATTCACCCTCATGTAGTTTTAAACTATTGATGACAAATGAACTGGGGAAAAAAAACTGCGATAATATCTGTGATTAATATCATTTTCGTTGAATTTATTTGGCCACTATAATTATGTAGTGAAAATCGTGACAGCCCTATTTGAAACCCATATTTTCAAAGTAAAATAAATGGAGAGTTTTCAGCAAATAATGACTCAAATGTTTGTTTATTCCTTAAACAGAGGTGTCGTAAACTTTTATTTATTTAGTTAGTTGGTTGGAGCTAAACTGCCTCAGTCCCCATTCTGATTTGTGTTTATATGGAAAAGAGCAGCATGAACTTTCTGCAAAATATTGTAGTGCTCAATTGAAGAAGAAAACATACAGGTCTTATTACAAAATCTAGGTAAATGAAGTAAGAACTAAATAATTTTTGGGTGATACGTTTAGCTATTTATTAAACATGTTTCAAAACATCTACAACTATTTACGTGTAAACTAATTTATGATCCGTTAACCATTAATATTTTATTTGTTTATGACTTAATGGACTTTAATGTTCACTGAGCTTTGAATGCTACGGACACATTAAACAGAAAGTTAATACATATGGTGTTCAAAATGTCTGGAGGTAAAGAAATTGTGTTTGAGGGAATGTTCTTTAAGAATGAACAGTTCATTATTGTTTTGTGTGTGTCGATAGAGTAATGCTCAGTTAATGTGCTATGTGTGTGTGTGTGGAGGCAAGGGTTTATAGTCCCTGCTGTAATGTCTATAAAAATGATTCCTGCCCAGCCACTCTGGATCCTACAGGAGCTGGTAGCTTTGTGTGTGTGAGAGAGTGTGTATTTGTGTTCTTTATGCTTGTTGTAATGGAAAATTCTAGTGTATTTGTTGCTTCCCCTCTCCTACCCCCACTAACTTCCTCCCTCTCTCTCTCTCTCTCTCTCTCTCTCTCTCTCTCCCTCTATATGTCAGAGTCTCAGCTG